TGGTGGTGCCTGGAGCGAGTTACGAACCAGAGAGAGCTCTGTGAGATTAGACAGCCGTGAGAATGTATCATCTGCGATACGCTGATTTGCCAGCAAATTCCCATCAAGGAAGAGACGTCTTAGAGAGGAGAGACCTCGAAATGCATGTGTTGGAATAGTTGAAATTCGATTGTCATCTAGGCGGAGTTCCTCAAGTGATGCAGGCAGTCCTGATGGTATACTCGAGAGGTGGTTGCGTGACAAGAAAAGAAGACGCAGCCTCGGATTGTTGGCGAATGCTTTGTCTTCTATACTTACGGTTGAAACTGAATTGTCATCCATGTGAAGCTTCTCCAGTAGGGGAAGCCGTGCAAGAGCGGAACGGGGTAAAGTTCGTATATTGTTGTCCTGTAGGTGAAGTTCTCGTAGCGACGGAGGCAGATGTGTTGGAAAATCATCAAGTTCATTATCATAAAGGTAAACTACTCGCACAGTCAGTTGTCGCTCTAAAGATGTTGGTAGCCCAGCATTGTCGATGCGGTTGTTTTGCAGATAGAGCACAGCTGCCGTTAATGGTAATGGTGGGATGATACTCAAGCCACGGTCATTGCAGTAAATGAAGCCATCATCGCACCTGCAAGCTGAGGGGCATGGGACGTCTCCCTGAAGCTCCGCCTCTCCAAGAGCTGCCTCCGCGGCAGCAGCTGTTGCTGCAGCGAACTCGAGGACTTCAACCAATAATGTCAAGCATAGGAGAAGTAGGAACAGCCAATCGCGGAGTTCAACTAGGCTCTCTGTGGCCATAATTCCAGGCAATGTACCCCACTCTCTCTGCAGAGGTAATTTAACCCAATGTCTCAAGTCAATATTCTTGGTCAGTGTAGTAAAATGCAGGTCTTTCTTGCACTTCTTTACTTCCAATCACAAGCCCTGTGGGAAATATAGAAAATATATTTTTTTTTAGCTAAGATTTTTTCAAAATACAGAGGTTACATTTGGTGTAGAGTTCAGTGCAATTATAAGTCCACATATCTGTTATTTAGTATGCTGTCTGACATCTGCTTAAATGTGAAGAACATTGCAAGGTGGTAAGAGGTTAGTAAGCAAGAGCAGAGAAAATCAGTCAAGCTGAACGGCTTTCTAGATAACCTTAACAGAGCAACTGACAGATAGGGAGCATTAGACATAACATTAAAATAAAAAAGGACTGAAAGAGAACAGCAAATGGATTGCGGTT